GGACTACTTTCCTTCTAATAGGGAATTAGCATACCGCTACAAGTTTTGTGATGGTTCCTCTTCAGAGAATTTGTATCAATTCACATTGAGAACATCAGGGGCAAACAGTACAGCTCATCATTAACAGTATGAAAGAGTTCTTCAAAAATCAACATGAAATTGGCTTGTGTCCATCATTGACGAGTAAGTGATTATAAAAATGCAGGGTCATAGCAGATTCTTAAATGGGTAGAGTGACCTTTTTTATTTTAGCTGAAATGACCATTTGGTACAAGTTAATTTAAGAATCCAGACCTCTTTTTGAAACATGTGACAAGTTTATCTTAAATTTGCAGGGACTTTGGACAATTCTCAGTTGGATTCGTAAGACAAAATTTTGCTTTGATTTCCTACCTTTAGAAGGACATTTGGATAGCTATCTCTTAACTTTGTCTACATATTGTTTCCTACAGTTATCCATTGTACAAATGGAAACATGGTTAGATACAGGTTTCACTGTATCTGATGCTTGAGCACAAATGAAAAACTAAAGAGAAATCTTGCAGCTAAAAGGAGAAGAATCAGTATGAAAAGGAGCCTTGCACCAAATTATTTTTACAAGTAGAATGAAATACCACTAAGAAGGAAACAAATACCTTATATGTATGTTAGCAATTCTTTTAAAACTAAAACAAAACATTTACATATATTTGACTTGACCTTTTCTTACCATGGACTTAACCAGAGATATGAATATCAAAATCACAAGTATACACAGACCATCAAATTAGAACTAGTCAAAAAGTGAAGTGATTATTCTCTGGAAAATTATTATTTCTGAGGAAATTTTGAATTTTGTTTTCATTCTAAATAAAAACTTAACAAAATTTAAATTCCTGTAATAATATTTCAGATTTTTAAAAAATGTTTTTCTGGTATGAAGAAATTTTGTTTTAAATTTTATTTTTCCTTTATTACTTTGCTTTACTCTGTTCTGTTAATGAGTACGATGTATGTGTTATTTGTCACAATATAATGTAGTAGTTGAAATATTAAACCACTGAGGGGAAATGCTCCCTACTATTGACTAGATCTTTTCTAAATCAAAGTATATTCATGTTTTAATATCTAAACAGCAAAAACATAGTTTAATATTGTAGGTCCCACTTAGCTCTTCTTTCTCTTTTCATCCTCTAAGATTGATGTAATACTTAGTAAAATCTAGTACAATTATTGCTAGCAATGTTGATAATAAACAAACAAATTTATTTAATCACTTCAAAAGACGATTCTGAGGTTTCTGTATTTTTCAAGCACGTTTTAACAGAGATCAGTCTTCAGTAAAACTTTTAACACTTTCATTTCTCACAGTGTACACAAGAACTCATCCCTTTTTCATAGCCAGTGTATTTTTCTCTGTAGGAAAAAGCCTGTAAGAATAAGAGAGTCTGAAACTGTAACTTAAAAGCATCAAACATTATTTGGGCCCAGCTGAACAAATATATGCATTCTGGAACCATGCATTGCACTAAACTTCCTCCCATGTAAAAACAAGGACTATTTGTTTAATGGTTTGGGTTTTTTTAGTGGCTGTAATTCCTGTGGTCCCACATAATGCCATAGTCTTGTTTCAAGTAAGGTTAAAGAGTTTTGTACACAATTGCATTAGTAATAATTCATGGTTCTCTATTGACTGTTGACAAGAATAGGTGAAGATGATTTCAAAATATTTTTAGTTTCTTCTGAGGCTTTAGCTATGAAGAACTTCTTGGGAAAGATATGTACCTTACACGCAAGTTTTGTCAGACTCCATGCTGAATATGTCCATTTGGTTATGGACCAACAGACCCATTCAATCAGGTGTAGCTCTGGGAACATAAAGAGTTTAAGACCCTGGTTAAGACCTGTTAGATGAGAAGTGCTCTTATACTATACAAAGTAGCTGTTCTTCCCTGGAGGAGTGAGGGTTGGCCAGTGCTTTTACTCATCCAGTTCCTATTGATGGGGTTTGTACTGTCAGGTGATAGATGATGTGTTTTGTGTTGCTACACATATCCACAAGATTAAACGTTTGTCACAGTGCTGCTGCTCTGTCCGCTTTGAGGCTGAGCATGTAGTAGAGCATAGGTGCCATTAACAACAACCTAGACATTATGATCTCTTTTTTGAATGCCAGTCAAAACATGCTGTGAACAGAACTGACATTTTAGTTTTAGCAAAAGGGCCTGAGTGGAAAGAAAAGAAAAAGAAAACGCGGGAAAAAGAAGAGACAAAAGTGTTTGTCATAAGACATAGGCTATTATTTAGCTACATCTAACTAGTTCAACTACACAGCCCTCCAAATACTTGGAAAAAAAATTCTGTGAGAATATTAATTTTTTTGGAAATGCTGTTTTTAAGATCTGACAGCCTATGTTCATTCTGATTTTTCCATCCATGACTTCATGCTATTGAGCTACTGAGCTTAGGATTTGATGGAAGTAAGGAAGGAGATTGTTCCACAATGACTAGTCATTCTAAAATCTGAGCAACTTGTTTTTTTCATGGTGATTGCAAAGAGAGGGTATGTTGCCTCCATAGCTGATTCTTCTAGAAACTGTAAAGCAGTTATGAACCAAGAGCATTCATGAATGCATGCTGTACTGGCTTTCTTGAGCAGGTCTGTCACATGTCTACTGAATGAAGAGAAAGAGAAAAATAATGCTTATTCTACCATTGCTTACTTATCTGCCTGAGAGTAGTAGTTTCATACAGATTCTTGTTTTATATATTTCCATTCTCAGTCAGCTTTATGTTCCTGGTTCTCTGCCGCAGAGAGAGCTGGCTTAAACAACGTAAGGTCCTCTTCCAGCTTGTATCAGCTGGTTATGGTCTCCTTGGTCTATTCAAGTTGCATCTAACCAGAATACTGTCCTGTGAGTCTCCTTTACTGATCTCAGCTGCGCACCCAGCTATGGGGTAGCATTGTAGAAATTGCACCCAAGCTACATATACCCAAATTTCCAGATGTATTTGCAAAAGCAGCTGGTGAGGTGGTGAGCTTGTGTCTTGTGACAGGTGCTTTGATGTAGTAGGGAAAAAATTAATTAAAACTCTTTCTGCAAATGAATTTTTCACAAGGATGAATTGCATGCCTGAATTTTAGCATGAAGCATCCTATATTAAAAAAAAAAAAAAGAAAAGAAAAAAAAATAGTGATGGATTTCCTGATTAACTTGGTTATTCTTTTATTTAGTGCCAATTACAAATGCTAACAATCATTAAATATTATATATTTTTAACCTGATATACATTGTGTGGTGGTGTTTTGAAATTAAGCCAAAAGTAACTTCCTTCTCCAGGTCCAAAGCCAGCAATCTAACCACTGGCAGCCACTATAGTCTCTACTGGCAGTATGCAGTTATGGACAAATTTTATGTTGGATTTTGTAAGCCATCAGAAATATGAACTTGTTTTGTCTAGCCTCTATAGGGAAAATAGAACAGATGGACTTTTCATACTGCTTAAATAAATCTCTGGCTTCCTTTGGCCAGCCTTCCAGTGTAGGGTGGGTGAGTCAAATAGGTCAGAGAAGATGATATTTGTGTTTCTCTGATGTGAATAGAAAGTGGACACCTTTTAAACAATTTATCTAATTTAAAAATGTATAGCCAATGATATTTTTGAGAAGTGATTTATTAAAATATTGGAAGTTATGGCAGATATGCTATGTTGTTCCGTACCCTTCTGAACATAGGTGTCCTGCTTAAAATTAGTTGAAATTTCAATATTTAGACCAAACCCCCTCATTTTCACTTCCTCAGCTCTCAGTAATTACTGCAGTGTTATATCATTAAAAATGCCTTTTAAAAATGCTAGGTTGGAGGCATAGATGTTTGCAATTAAAAATATTAATTGATGTATGCCAGATTATATAACTTCAGGTTTTCATCAGGACAGTGATCTACTGGACCGGCGGAAACATTGCTTCAGTGTCCAGTCTGAATCTGGAGAAGATCTTTACTTTTCTGTGGAACTAGAGTCTGACCTAACTCTATGGGAGAAAGCCTTCCAAACAGCAACTTTTTTAGAAGTTGAACGGATACAGGTGAGAACAACTGCCTTGATAATTAACTTTTCGTACATTAACAAATTAGGTCTGTATGACATAATGATGCAATTTAAGAAATTCTCTGACCTCCTGCAGCTCTCAAATTATTATTTTTTTTTTTAATGTATGTAATTGCATAAAAACCCTTTTGGTGTTCCCAAATACCTTGGAATGTAACATTCAGAAGAGATGACCTCAAATACAATCTTTGATTTGTTATGACTAGGTGATACATATTAGTTAACTGAAGTTCAAGAACAGAAGAGGAAAAACAATCTATAGATCAAGAACAAAACCAGTTGTTTGGATATTCTTACATACTGTTTTACATGCTGCTTTGTTTGTTATTGCATAACATAAGACAACCTTGCAGGAATTAAATTCTCCTTGTAATAATCAGGAATAAGACTACAGTGACTGAGAGTACTGAGAGTACTCACTGGATGCAAGCAAGAACAAAATTGTGCCTAAGATGCATCATTCTTTTTTCACACATTTCTTGTTTGTTGTGTATTTACTCAATTGTCAGATGGCAGAGGAGATGGATGACATTCAGGTACAGATTACTAGTGAATTTTTATAGCAAAATTACATATCAGAGTGTTTAAAATAACTCTGTTTATCTCACGTGACCAAAAAGTCATGGTTTTTTTATTTAAAATATGAGGAAAAAAATACCCACCACAATTATAATTCACCTAATCCTAGTTGTTATATTGATGTTCTGATCATAAAAAATACATGTGGTTGGAACAGCTTTAGCTGATGTTGCCATGAGTTATTCTAATGAGTTATTCTGTATACACACCTACAAAAGTCATACTAGCATATCAGCCTGTGCAAGTATTGGCTAATGCTCACTTTTGCTGCACTCATTTTCTGCATCCTCCTGGGGATTCAGGCACTGACAGTTTTTTATTTAGAGAAATTGTTAGTTAGTTATATATTAGCCCTGTTCTGACCTATAAACCAGCACCTGCAGATGGTCCGAATTAGTATCTACTAACAATGATCCGTTTCGCTACACTGCTGTCAGTTTTAATGCATATTACCTTTGTTGGAGGAGGAGTTGAAGAAGGTTCAGCTTTTATCTTTGAGTTCATGCACTCTGCTACCTTTTACAGGAGCTATTCTTACTTTTGAACTCTGATTGTCATGCTGAAAAATGTAAGTGTAGTTTTTCTGTATAAAAATTGCAACAACATATGTCCTCTGCTACTAAATACTTGAGATGCTTTGTCTTTCTCATATTACTGACTGCAACATTGTTTGTAGAAGCACTACTGTGCCATCAGTAAAATAATATATGGCAATTGTCTTGAATAACTTTTAGCCCAGAAGCCACTTCATATTCGTTCTTCTCTAATATTGATTCATAATGTAGCATTCCTAGTTTAGATTTTCCTCTTGGGTGTTAGAATTACATTTATTCAATATTGCTCCCATGTTTCCCCAAAAGAATTTCCCTAATAATCTTAACCTCAGATTAATCTTAACCTTTCCACCTTTCTTTTCACTCTACTGATGTTCAGAGTGGCAATTATGAACTCAAAGTAATGATTTCCTGAGACTGATTGATTATAGCAAATTTGTGAAGGTGGACAAAAAGGCTTCTCATGATAGATTATGATTATGGAACTCAAGCTTATGATTTCACCTTTTTTTTTCTTTATTTTCTTGCCTCTTTTTCTATATCTCAGTTAGGAAAAAAATAGAATGTTAATTTTTAATATAACTGGTCTTGGCCTCCTCGTTTTTCTTTCAGCAATCCATTACTCCTTTCAACTACCAATTTGCAGATTCAGATAAAATCTGGTTTGACTAAGTAGTGGTATAGTTTGTCTCTGACAAGTTCCTTCATTGCTCTGTGAAAAAAAAAGGTGACAGCTTCAAAATTGAGGTATCATCAACTGTAAGTTTTTACTAAAATTGTGTTTTATGCAATCATATTCATATGAATATTCATATTTCATGTGAATGATAATGCAGCTGTGTGCAGGTTTGTCGTACTATGAAATCATACAATTTTGAAAATGTAACTGCAGTTTAAAACTGCCATTTAAAATTATTCAAATGTGTTGTGTACTATTCCATAATCATAAACATAATAACAGAGTTACTCAATGAGTATAAATTTGCATTAACCTCCAAGAGGGGTTAATCAGGGTCCCGTTCTGATTTAACTCTAAAGAATAGATCAGAAAAAAAGATATTGTAAAAATAATTCAGTATAAATATGTAATAAATTCTGTTTAAACCTAATTCTTAGCTTCTACGAGAGATGTATTGAAAACAAAAATGAGGCGGGTGTTTTGTTTTTATTTTAGGAAAGAAGTATGTTAGAAGAGACATAGTCAAGCTGATAGTAGTTTAGCAATAATATGTGGTACGATATTGTAGTGGTGCCATTGCGGTGTGTTACGGTCACTCTTTAGTTAGTTTTCTTTAGAGTAGCAAGAGATGTTAAACCATTTTCATAATTACATATTAAAAGAAAAAAAATAGTTGAAATGGAGATGCTTTTTCCTTACTATCTCACAGCATTGTTAGATGAAGAATCTGAGACTATTATAGCTTGCATAATGATGTGTAATTATATATGATTACAGAATCACAGAATGGTCAGGGTTGGAAGGGACCTCTGGAGATCATCTAGTCCAACCTCCCCGCCAGATCAGGGTTATCTACAACAGGTTGCACAGGACAGCGTCCAGGGGGGTTTTGAATGTCTCCAGAGTGGGAGACTCCACAACCTCTCTGGGCAGCCTGTTCCAGTGCTCCACTACCCTCAAAGTAAAGAAGTTCCTCCTCATGTTAAGATGGAACTTCCTATGTTCAAGTTTATGCCCATTACCCCTCGTCCTATCACTGGGCACCACTGAGAAAAGACTGCTCCCATCCCCCTGGCATCCTCCCATTAAGTATTTGTAAGTATTAATAAGATCCCTCTCTCAATCTTCTTTTCTCTAGACTAAAGAGACCCAAGTCCCTCAGCCTTTCCTCATATGAGAGGTGTTCTAATCCCCTAATCATCTTTGTAGCCCTTTGCTGGACCCTCTCCAGCAGATCCCTCTAGAGCCCTCTCCCATGGGATCTGTCCAAGCAATTCCTTGAAGTGATCAAAGTTAGCCCTCCTGAAGTTTAAGGTTTCAACTCTACTTGTCATTTTGTCTATACTGCACTTAATCCCGAGCTGTGTCTTCTCATGATAGCTGCAGCCCAGTCTGCCCCCAACCTTAACATCCTCCACCAGTTCCTCTTTGTTTGTCAGTACTAGGTCTAGTAGTGCACCTCTCCTTGTGGGCTCCTCCACCACCTGAGTCAAAAAGATATCATCAATGCACTGGAGGAACCTCCTGGACTGTACATGCCCAGCTGAGTGGCCTTCCCAGCAGATATCAGGGTAATTGGAGTCCCCCATGAGAATCAAGGCCTGTGATTGTGAGGCAATTCTCACCTTCTGTAGAAGGTCTCATCAACTTCCCCATCCTGATCAGGTGGCCTGTAATAGACACCCACAACAGTGTCTCTCATATTACCCTGCCCCTTAATCCTTACCCACAAGCTCTCAACTTGCTCTTCGTCTGCCCCCAGGGATGGCTCGATACATTCCAGATGCCGTCTCACATAAAGAGCAACTCCACCACCTCGCCTTGCTGTCCTATCTTTCCTAAAGAGAACATAACCCTCCATGACAGTGTTCCAGTGTTCAGTCATGTGATTATCAGGTTCCCTTTCTATTCCCGCTACTTTATGCTAAAATTTTCACCACTTCATCATTAATTTTTCTCTTGCTGTCTTTCTTGTTTCTACTGTAGTTGTTTGTTCCCCAATATAAGGATTATTTTGTAAACTGTTTGTGTTACAGTACTTTAATGTTTGTCTCCATTGAAGTTGAATGTGAGTTTGAAAGTCTGAATTAAATCTTGGACTTACAGGGTAGTTTTCCTTAGTGTCAGAGATAAGTTACACTAGATTTACACTGTATCATTCTTTTCATAGTTTAATCTGTGTGTATTGAGGGAGAAGAATTTAAGGAACAACTTTGGCTTTTCTCCTTCTTCGCCCGCCTGACCCACTGAGTTATTCAGAAACTCTGTTTCAGATTCTGTATTCTGTGAGAGAACAAGAAATGGGTGCTGAAATATTTTCTGCTCCTTTTGGGAGAGGGATGCTTCAGTTCTGATAAGGTGTTCGTGAGGTCTGTCTGAGAAATCAGCAACCAAAACCAAACATCCACAATATATATTATGAATAGTCACTTTTAATGATTTAAATTGTTAAACATACAAGAAATTTTAGATTATCAAGTCTCCTCGGAAAAATTTCTGCATTTTTGTTTTCTCCAAATGTCTGAGTTAAAAAACAAATTAAAGAAAATTAAAATGGGAAAAACGTTAACAGATCTAACAAGTGTCTGAGAGTTCACATTCTTTTTCTGACTTGTGACCAGAATCCTGTGCAAGTGCATACAACACATGCATAAAGTAAAGGACATTATTCTCCAATGAAATTAGAATCTTGCTTTTGAGAGAGCATTTTGTTATTCTCACATTTTTACTTCTCTGAATTTTTTTGAAAATCATGGACTATGTGGTCCGAGGGCATTGACCGGTCTTATGTGTAAGTAAAGAATAAGTAAAGGGTCAGCTACTACTGGTGTTCTGCACCTTACAATGCAGTTTCTTCCTACTGATAACCACACTGAGCTGAACTAGATGGTATTTCTCCACAAGCTGTGCACTGCCCTTTGTAGAAAAAGCCTTCAGTCTGGGAAGCGGGTAGCTTTTTCAGTACAGCATTGAACCGAGACTGATAGGTCCTGTTTCTCATAAATCTTTACTTCTCAGTGAGGCTAATTAGCCCAGGCACAGTGCTGTGCTTAAGCAGAGGTAGCTGTGCCAGCTCAACATGGTGCTGCAATGCGCATTGTAGGTTGACCTCTGGTGTGGCAGTGGGAGGTCAGATGAGTTAGATGGCAATACATATTTTAAATCTGATATACTGTGTCCTTGCCAAATTTTAATTCTCAGTAAAGGCTCTATGTCTGTTCTAGATATCTTGGAGGTCTACAAATAAAAATGTAGTTTGCATCTTGTAGGAGGTTAGCAAGATAATTCTACAAAACTGTACATTTTTTGCTTTGCATGTAAAACCTGAATGTTTTTGCATATGTGAATTCATTAAGTAGTAAGTCACTGTGAAATACATTATTTTGCATTCTTTTCTTCTACTAATGAGATGTTGCCAAAGGCAGTATCCTCTCCTTTTCTAACACCACTGATTTACGATGAAAGTTTACATGTTCATAGCAGTGATATGGTGTAGCTGCTCAAAAAAAAAGACACACTTATTTGCTGATATAAGCGCAAATACTATATGACTGCAACACCACAGAGCTGAAAGACTGATTTTGTAATTAATGCATTAATAGTTGTAATGATCAAGTGCAGCTCTATACTGTATGAATTCAGATTTTATACATGTAGTGAAGTACATAAAGTTCTTTCAGTGTTAGAAGCTACAGGCATAGACCAGTCACTGCTTTCCACCTCAACAGTAGCAATAGGAAATTTTTCATTTACTGACACACAGTTATAGCTTTTGAACACCTTGGGTGGATCACACAGTACCATATGGTGTACTATCACTCAGCAGTAATGCAACATCATCTTGTAAGACACGTGTCGTGGATTGTTTTTACTTCTGAGTTATAGATGCCCATGTTTTGTCTATAGACTGGTTTAAATGCTGCACTTGTGCCCCACCGATAACTAACTTCAGCTTCAGTGATGGATAGCATTGTGTATGAAACCTGGATTCTAGATCTGCAAGGCACGTGCACAAAGATTAAACAACTGTTTGTATGTATTTGAGACCTGATTTGATCAATGAAAGCAATTCACTCAAATATTTCAGTTCCAGAAAATAAAACTATATTGAAATGTAAGACAGTCAAATTTAATGTAACTAAAGCATCTACATAGCTATAAACTTTTCCATTTCCCTTCATTACAATGTATATTCCAACTCTTAGAAGCTGTCAATGAGCCTTTTAGCTTCTTGTGTTCTGGGTTTGACCATTTCGAATCCAAAGAGCCCACCAAAAGAATATATAAGTAAACACACGTGATTTATCCTTAATAATCAAAATGCCAAAAATAATAATACATACTTTTGTAACACTGTTAGTTTAGTAACTTACATTGTCCCCATGTTTACAATTTATATTTTGGTTCTTTGACACATTGTATATCGTGGAAGCCTTTTTATATAAACTACATTTCATTTAATCTGGAGGTTAAAATTTCTGTAAAACAAGAATGGTTTCTTTAAAGAACTTACATCAGATTTTGAAATGTTTTAATTTTTTTACAAATTTTGTCATAAAAAATACAAGTTTGTCATTTTGTACCTGAAGTCAGCCTTCAGGCATAGCAATAGTTTTCATCCTGAAAACGACACTAATAGATGTCTCACAGCACGTATTGAAGTGTGGTGTTATGGAAATAAATAGATGCATAGATTGAAAAATCATAGAATGAAAAAGTTTTTCATGATTTCAAGGTTTCTCATAGAAACCATTGAGATGTATTGGTCCACTAGCTAAAGCAAAAAAGGTATTTCATATGATTACATCAATTGGTACGTAGTATGAAATATTACCTTTTTCACTGAGATTTAGAACAGAAAAACACAACAAACAGCATACAAAAGAGATATTTTACAAATGCCTTTTTTTTTTTTTTAATTAAAAACTAAAAGGAATATGTTAATGTTAGAGGAAGTTACCAGGTACGAAAACAAATCATAGAATCATAGAATGGTTAGAACTGGAAGGGCCCTTAAAGATCATCTACTTCCAAGCTCTCCTGCCCTGTACAGGGACACCTCCCACTAGACCAGGTTGCTCAAAGCCCCATCCAACCTGGCCTTGAACACCTCCAAGGATGGGGCATCCACAACTTCTCTGGGCAACCTGTTCTAGTGCCTCACCACCCTCGGAGTAAAGAATTTCTTCCTAATACCTAGTCTAAATATACTCTCTTTCAGTTTAAAACCATTACCCCTCATCCTATCACTACACTCCTTGATAAAGAGTCCCTCCTCATCTTTCCTGTAGGCCCCCTTCAGATACTGGAAGGCCTCTATAAGGTCTCCCCAGAGCCTTGTCTTCTCCAGGCTGAACAACCCCAACTCTCTCAGCCTGTCTTCATAGGAGAGGTTCTCCAGCAGTCTGATTATCTTTGTGGCTCTCCTCCGGACTCACTCCAACAGGTCCATGTCCTTCTTTTGTTGGGGGCCCCAGAGCTGATCACAGTACTCCAAGTGGGGTCGAAAATAATGAGACTTCCACTTTAGTAGTTTTCATTGGTAAACCACTGAGGCAATTCTGATTCTGATTAATTTTTCCCTAATGGAAGCAAAGCCTCTTTTTACAATACTTAGAAAACTTCATCACTGATATAAATCCTTTGATTTGAAGTACACTGGCAATAAATTGACCTATTTACACACAAATAACTTATTTCTGATAATAACTTTGAGACATATAAAGATTAGAATAAAGACACATAAATACTGGTCCTAGAAAGAATTTAAAGAAATGTGTTCTGTGGTAACTACCTTCTCTGATTTTTCTTTTACAGTGCAAGACGTATGCCTGTGTTTTGGAGAGTCATCTTATGGGACTTACCATTGACTTTAGCATGGGCTTTGTCTGTTTTGATGCTGCCACAAAGGTAAAGATCTAAGGCTTGTTTCCATCACATTATTATTATTATTATTATTATTATTATTATTATTATTATTATTATTATTAATTATTCCTCATTATTTCTTACATTTTGGGATAAGTATTACATCCTTAAAATGTACTTCTTTTTGTTATTGCAACAGATCATCTCTTGTCAAATCTCTCGAGCTTTAGTTTAAACTCCGGGGTGATGTGATTTCAAAATGTGAAAAGTTGTATTCTGCTATGTGCTTGTTATTGAAAAGTCAATACCAATATCAGTCTGAAACAAGCATCAAGTCTTCATTCTTTAATTTCACATGAAAGCCCAGACTGGTTCATTTTGATGTTTCTTTCACTGGTGCATTCTTGGTTTTGATAGGAAATAATCTTCTTGGTTTCAAGCTGATCTGTAAGCTTTGACAAGAACCTGCCTTTCTCTTTTTCTGTTTCAGGAGTGGGAGTGTGTGTTGCTACAGCAATTCTCAGTTTATGTTTTAGATATTTTTGTTCAGGTGTCTGTAAAAAGAGAAATCAGCCATGGTCTGTATGTCTCATGGTTTTCCCATCAGCCTCAAAAAAGATTTGATGAAATGGTTTGCTATATCAAGTGAATGATATGACACCAATTTCCATACTATATTAATGCAAGTCCAAATCTCAGTAAAATCATCGAGAGCCTACATATGTTTACATTTGCACAAATTACTCACAAGTACTAAAATGTAGGCAGGCTTTATTGCTACTACTTGACAATGCTGTTATGGGAGAATGTGAAATATTTTTTCTGAGTTCCATTTCTCTTCAGTACCTGTTTTCCTTTGAGATGCTGCAGCATCGCCACCAGCAATTGCTGAAAATGCGCTTTTCTCTCCAGAATATGCTCCTATCCTCTGTCTTAAGTCAACACTTCTCACCACATTACTCCACTAATCAGAACCCTTTTATTCTTCCCACTCCATTCTACTGTTTGTTTGCTCAAGGTTTGGTGAATTTGAAATTCAAATACTTGTGTATGCGTATTTCTTTTTGTTAAGCAAATAGTCTTGTCTGATTCATTAGTGAAATACACGCCTGTCAACTTAGGAGGTATTGCACAAAAAATCAATGCAACTGAATTAAAATGCAGTGGCTCAGAAAAAAATGTGTATGATTCCCCCCATCCTCCAATAATATTTTAGTAATGCTTTTGTATAAAGATAATTTGCATCTCGTTGAAAGCTCTTGCACATTTCTGATTCTCAAAAGACTTCAGACTCTTTCAATGCCATTATCTGCAGTACAAGCGTTCACCAAATTTCAGACAGCAGAGCACAAGGAGAACTGCCTTCATACATATTACCATGGCTGAAGGGTGTGGTATCCTTTTACCCTTTAGGTATGTCCTTAGAACACATACAGCAGATTTCCAGATATAGAAAAAAGCTCTAGTACAGATACAACTTCACTGTCTTGCTTCCTCAAATAAGTCATTGTGCCTTTCCAGTTGTACAAAATTTCTGGAGACATCATCTTGGTGAACAGTATTACTTATAAAACAGATGCTTCTTTGCCCTCACAAATAGAGTTTTAATCTTTTCTTTCATAGCAAAGAGCAGGAAAGTATTTCAAGGATTAAAATTGACTACTGAAACACTAAGGCAATTGTTAGCATTGCCAGCAGATTTGCAATCAGCTCTTCTCTCCTATTCCTGCTTCCCCATGTTCCCTACTAAGTCACATAGGTAATACTAAAATTACATGATAAATTCCAACAGTAAAACAAGTGCAGCAAAAAATGAGCATCTAACTTCTGTTTCAAACCAGAAGAGTCCTGACTAGGTTGGTTGGGAACCTGCACAAACTAAAACCACACTGCACAACCCAGTAGCAGAAGATCCACAATGCAAGACCACTGTAACAAAGCTTTGATGACTTGATGACAACTATAAGAAAGCCAAGTAGGAATTTTCCATCTTCCAGGTCTCCAAAGCTTGAGAAAGCCCATAAAACATTGTAAGAGTATGAGGCAATTTTACTTTTTCCTCTCCCCTACATCTGTAAAGCCATGAAACCATGGTGTTGTGGTTAAGGCCAAACTGGCCACTGGGGACGTGGGGCACCCCAGATGGGACCGACAGATGCTCCCCACCCCTCCTTCTTCAAAGAGAGTGGCAGAGGAGAGGGGCAACCGAATTTATTGGCCTGTGTGGATTTGATGGCCTGACATGTTAGAGCCACAAAAGTATAAAGCCCTAGTGGACACTGGTGCCCAGTGTACCCTATTGCCATCAAATCATAAAGGGGGAGAATCTGTCACTCTTTCTGGAGTGACAGGAGGATCTCAAGAACTGACTGTATCAGAGGCCAAAGTGAGCCTAACTGGGAATAAATGGGAGAAACATCCCAGTGTGACTGGTCCAGATGTGCTGTGCATCCTTGGTGTAGACTATCTCAAGAAAGGGTATTTTAAAGACCCAAAAGGGTATTGGTGGGCTTTTGGTATAGCAGCTGTAGAGACTGAGGATGTTACACAGTTGTCTACCTTACCTGGTCTTTCAGATGACCCTTCTTTTGTGGGACTGCTGAGGGTTAAAATCAGCAGGTGCCAATTGTGTCCTCAAACCAGGACACATGGAACGAACCTGTTCCTTCTGGGGTGGCATCTAGCCTCAGCATCCAAAAAGTTCTGAAATTTTAAGCCAGGCATTAACTGCAACCAAGTGTCACGGGATCTTGAGGGTTTAAATACTGATGAGAGAGGACACTTTTACAGAATATGAAAGAGTTTTCATCAAAGTGTGAAAGCTAGCAGATGTGCGAAGGGATTTCCTTCAGGGAGGGAAGGGCATCATAGGCATTATGTGGACAGAACAGAAAAGTGTAGAATTCCTCATGAACTGGAGGAAAGACATTTTTATTGCAGGGAATAGACTGTAGGTGCAACTAGAGAAAGTGTAGTACATTTTGCATCATGTGCAACTGACATACTGTGCTGCTCCTCCTCTTTCTCTCCTGCCAGCCTTGCAGCGGGTAGTAGCCCACAAAACATTTATCTGACCTAGACCAGCCTTAGAAATTTCTCAGTTGGTCCTACTCGTTCACCGCCCTTACATACAGGCTGCAAGGAAGAGCAGAGGGCTGGTCTGTCAAATCTATCACCAACCCTGTACTGTGTCACTCTGGTCTTCAAAGCTCCTGAGACCACCCAGCAGCTGCGTGCTGTGGCAGAAATTATTCCCCCTGAAAAAATACTCTTTCACATTTTTCACTGTTATCTCCTCGTTTCCCTTCCACCATTGCCACTTGCACTGTTCATGTTTCCCCTATATTTCTTGCACTTTCCATGTTTTAATTTTAGAGTGATAAAATCAATTTTGCTTTAATGCTTGCTGATTTTTCTTTTAAAAGTGGGTTTTATTTTCCTGAAGAGAGGGAGGGACCATGCTGGTAAAGCTCAGGAGTGAGTACATGGAGAATCCTGAAGGTTTCAGTGTTTGTTTCTTTTTTTTTTTTTTTTTTTTTTTGATACAGAAAAACAGGCAAGCGGAGAGTACAGTTTAAGATAAAGGCATTGTGTTAAAAATGCCTCGTCTATTACATAGGACATGTACAAGAGATATGCCACATACTAACCCATTCATTAGGCATGGTGAACCTGTACATTGGAAATTCAAGAAAATAAATGGATAATAATAATAAAATAGCTGAGACTATTTAACTTATTACAGACTTATAATATGAAGACCTTAAGACCTTTTTTTTTTCCCCTCACTTGCAAATCCAGGCCCCCCAAAATAGAACCTTTAAAGCATAAAACACACAAGAAGCATCAATATTTTAGTTCTATAAGCAATACACAAAAGCTTCTTGGAGAATGTTCTTCTTGCAGTAGTCATTAAGAGGTATGTGTCACATATGCTAGTCATACTGTCTTGCAGGTCTTCCTCTCACTGTTCACCAATCTTTGGAAAAACTCCTTCATGTGCCTCACAAATGTTTCATGGAACATATAATTAAATTCTTTTGGTGCTCCGAAACTCATTATATTCTTCTGTTACCAATTAAAAATGCACATCAACTAGAAATAAAAAAGTCTAACAAAACCAGCGAAGAGTGTGCAGCTCCCTTCAGATTTAAGGTTTTGTACACGCAAATACAGATACACATTTTTGTGACTTGAATGGAAGTGGTACATAAGCAAATCTAATGAGAAACTCTCCAAGTTTTCTAATCAGATAGAACAGTATTTATATTGTCAACAGATTCCTTGCAAGTGTTTTCATGCTTCTGTTATATTGTCACTTAAATAAATTGCATAAGTATAAGTAAACTACTGCATAAGATTCACAAAAAGTATTTTACATAGAAAGTGTTTACATATAAAAGAGGTTATATATATTTTTAACTTCTCTATATATTATTTTGAAGCAGATTGTGATATCTTGAAACTTTCAGTGTTGCAAGCAGAATGCAGCTAGTATCCTCAGAAACCTGCAGTGTTGCACATTAATTTGTTTATATGTTAGAATAAAGTATAGCAGAATGGATAAAAAAGAGGACATATTGGTTTTTTAGGTAATCAGGTGTTAGGCAGTGTGAGATAGTAAGGTGGCTCTAATGCAATTGCATTAGAAGAGAAGAGAAACATATAATGCAACATAAACTGTTGCCAAGTGACTGCTACAGTTGAAATTGCCAAACAAGCCACAGGATGAAAACTTGTTTCAAAGCTGCCTTAAGTGTGTCAACCATGTTTTAATGAGTACCTAAATAGGAAAACCATTACCTACTCTCCATCATTTTATATAAAGATAAAGGTTGTGATTGAGCAAAAAAAATGTTCAGATATTTTCATTATGATGATGGCAGGAGTAGGTTGTGTCTATGCTGGTAATGTTCTTCAACAACATTGCTATACTTACATAAACTGAAACATAGATTCATAGAAACATAAAATCATGGAATAGTTTGGGTTGCAAGGGACCTTTAAAGGTCACCTATTCCAACACCCTCTGCAATGGGCAG